GAGACACAGCTCTCACTGACAGCACTGAGAGATCACAGCTGAGTGAGCAACACGTGGAGGAGAGAAGCAGCTCTCACTGGCAGCACTGTGGGATCAATCAGATAACAGCAACAAAATAAGCTACAGGGTCCAATGGCCTCCTCTCATTTCTAGATTGCTTCCGGTTATTATAGGGATGAACACTCACCCTAAACTCCCAACACTTAGTTCTGTCACGGGTGGTGTTAAGTCGGAGAGGTGTTACCACGGCGACCACACTGGTCTCGTTAACATGGCAGGTGCTCGTGGACACAGCGTGGTGTTAATTGAAATAATGAGGGAGGGGAGAGCCGGAGCACAGCGAGGGGCGTCCCATTAGCATGAGCCTCCTTCCATTATCCGCACTCTCTCGTGCTCTGGCACAGTGACGCCCGCAGATTTAAAAATAAACCATGACGCAGAAAGAGAGAAAGGGAGAGAATGGAAAGAGGAGAAAAACAGCATTATGAATGGGAAAGATGTTTATTATTTCTTGAGCATTTCCACTCCTTCGCTCTAACTTCGACGACCAGTTCCAGTTTCTGCTGCTGGCTCGCTCACCCTCGACACCATGCTCTGCTCTCCACACATCTCGAGAAGTTTGCTAATGTTTTTCACTCTCTCCCAAAGTCCATCCATAACTTCACAGAGCTGTCCGCTCATCCTCTGTTCTTTGCTCTGCCATCTTCAAACTGTGCTATTCAACACAGATTCACCAGCACACACACACTGTCACACCTGACTGTACTGTAGACACTGCTAGAGCCACTGCTGTCCCTCTCCTCTCACACTCACCCTGAATTCACCAGCACACACACACTGTCACACCTGACTGGACTGTAGACACTGCTAGAGCCACTGCTGTCCCTCTCCTCTCACACTCACTCTGAATTCACCAGCACACACATGGTCACACCTGACTGTACTATAGACACTAAGGGTGCTGCAGCCTTTTTGATGAGCGTCCTTCCTGCAAGGTGGATCAGGAGGCTCAGCACGCTTTGTGCAAAGGAACGTTTACACAACAATCAGCAAACACCAGAACACCATCTGCTCAAGGAGACGTGAGGACAGATCCGACACGAGAGATATAAATTCTTACGAGCTGATGTCAGAGATGTTTTCAGCACCTTGCATCACGAGGAGGTGAGGTGTTAATTAAACACAACCATCCCCTAACGAGCTCTACCTTGTTTCCCCAGCACAGCACACCTGCGTCCCCCTGAGTTCACTCTCTCCCTCTATCCACATTGACGAGTCCTTATCCATAGTGCTAGGAATCTGTAGCTGCGCCTTTCTCTTTTAGACAAAACAATGTGTTTTCCATCTAGGATAGGAGTGTACTAGTCCTGGTCCTGGAGCATCCAGTTGTCATTCCAGAGTGCTCTGTCCAGGTCCTGGAGAGCTCAGTAATAAATAAACAATAAATAATGCTTACATTCATATATAGCACTTTTCTGGACACTCCACTGAAAGAGCTTCACAGTTAACTGGGACTCTCCTCCACCACCACCACTGTGCAGCCCCACCTGGATGATGCGTACTGTACCTGGAGCGTCCAGTCCTGGTTCTGGAGAGCTCAGTCCTGGGCCAAAAGTGTCCAGTCCTGAGCCTAAAGTGTCCAGAATGTCCTAGGTGCTGCTGTAAAGAGCATGCTGACCCCCCAGAACCAGGACTGGACACATCTGGTCTAGGCTCCTAGTTCTACAAGTGTTCCACATGTGATCTGAATAATCCTTGCTAATCCTAAGGGATCATCATCTTAAATCAGGGTGTCCAATATTAACTCCTTAAATTAGCTTAATATTGACTTAACTGGACTGATTTACCAGGTTCGGGTTCTGCTGTTTTAAAGAAACCTAGAAACCTGCAGACACCTACTAATCTTAAACACAGTGCTAAATCACCTGTGTTACACCACTTTTAAACACAATGCTAACATTAGGCCATGAACACTATCATGCCCCAAACAAGTGCACTAGCCTGTGGGCTCAAGAGACACATCACCACAGCCAGATGTCACAGTATTACTTTACCGTATCCTACGGGTTTCCCATTGCTGATACAATGTTTTATTTTTATTTCTGCCTGCTCACTATGCCCTGTGAATGTGCTTTTACTCCAAATTCAGTGCTTTTCTACACTTTTTTGTGCACGATTCCACGGTAATGCGGCACACTTATTCATTAAGCACATTACATTACAGTAATAATAATAATAATTATTATAATTGCTTACACTTATATAGCGCCTTTCTGGACACTCCACTCAAAGCGCTTTACAGGTAATGGGGACTCCCCTCCACCACCACCAATGTGCAGCATCCACCTGGCACGACGGCAGCCATAGTGCGCCAGAACGCTCCCCACACACCAGCTCTCAGTGGGGAGGAGAGCAGAGTGATGAAGCCAGTTCAGAGAGGGGGATTATTAGGAAGCCATGATTGGTAAGGGCCAATAGGAAATTTGGCCAGGACGCCAGGGTTACACCCCTACTCTTTTCGAGAAACGTCCTGGGAGTACACTTTCAAAATGTTGATGTGTGTTTATGTGTGTGTATGCAAGCCTTATCAGCAAACAGAAGACATGTGAGGGAATTTTTTGTTTGCAAACAGTCAAAACTGCCTGCATGAAAATAAACAGCTGAGCACGTCTGTTATCGTGTATATGGCTGTGGGCGTGATCATTTGTGTCTCTGTGTGTATGTTCCTGTGCATGTCTGTGTGTGTGTGTTTCTGTCTGTGTGAGTGCACTGTCAGTGATGTCTCTATCTGCTCTGCCAGGTGTGTTAATGAACAGGCAGTCTGCAGACAGACTGCAGGCAGGGGTCAGAGTTCAGCCCTCAGGGGGAGGTGGTGGAAGGTGAGAGAGGCGGGCCGTGTGTGTGCGGAGACTTGAGATTCACCCAGGAGGAATGTGTAAACTCCTCAACCCCTGGGAATTTCCTTTTTGTTCCATTTTTCTGTTCCAGAGCAGAAGGAGTTGAGTGGGTTCAGCGGAGTCTGGCACACCTGTTTCATCTGGAGCCAGAGACAGCCCAGCTGGCAGAGGGACGTGTGGTCTGTCTCTCTGTCTGTCTGCATGATGGTACAGGCCCCCCGGGGGGCTGCTGTTTCACTTCCTGCAGGTGCCTCTACCTGTCTGTCGGTCTTTTGGAATACCTGCATGTCTAGAGCTTGTTCCTGCCTCTCCCAATGTGTCTGCGCCTTTCTGTACTGTCAGCTGATATTGTCACTGGGGACCCTTGTAAAGAGTTTCTGTGGAATAGTATAGTAAAAGCACAGTCAAGTGTAGTAAAGAACAGTGAAATCAGAATTAAACCACAGGACAGTGCAGTAAAGCACAGTGGAATCAGGGTAAAAGCACAGGGCGGTGCAGTAAAGCACAGTGAAATCAGAATTAAACCACAGGACAGTGCAGTAAAGCACAGTGAAATCAGGGTAAAAGCACAGGGCAGTGCAGTGTAGCACAGTGAAATCAGAATAAAAACAGGACAGTGCAGTGTAGCACAGTGAAATCAGAATAAAAACATAGGACAGTGCAGTAAAGCACAGTGAAATCAGGGTAAAAACACAGGACAGTGCAGTGTAGCACAGTGAAATCAGGGTGAAAGCACTGTCAAGTGAAGTAAAAAAAAGGGAAAACAGGGTAAATGCACAGTAAAATGCAATGAAGAAGAGTAAAGGCAGGGTACAACACAATAAACCATTGTGGAATTGGAGTAAAAGCACAGTGAAATCAGAGTGGTGGCACAGCAAACCACAACTGAATTCTGCTGGATGCAACGTAAACCTGTAAAGCACAGTCACACAAGGGTAAAAACAGGGAGATATACTGTACTGTAGTGGTGGCACAGTGTTGCAAAAGGAAGCTCAATGCATAACAGAAGCCTGGTAAAACCATGTGCAAAACCGGCAAGAACGCCGTTCTTCACGCCAGCGTCCCAGGAGACCCCAGGCAGGTCTGCAGCAAGGAGACTCCCTGACCATATGGGCCAATTAGTCCTCATCAAAGATTCACCGTACACATTTGTCTCATGAAATATTAAGTGTCCAGACTGGCTCTGAACATACTTAACAGAGCTCACTGCTTCCCCCGGCTGTGCAGGAAACGCAGGAGCCATTGTGCCGCAGGAGTGGGGATGGCGATGAGAACAGCATCGATCACGCCGAAGTCCATCAGAGCCAGAGAGCCCAAAGTCGGAGGAGCTCGGTGGCTTGTCCCCGAATCTCACCTGCTCATTTCCACGAAGATTCCTGGGAAACGGCTTCTAAGGCCGAGTCGACACCAGGCGCAGAGCAAGTTTAAAAGGTCAGGAGATTCCCAAAAAGAAATTTAAGCAGACATCCTGTCCTAGTGCAGGTCATCGCATGCGAAGTGCAGCACCTGAGAGGTGGACTGGTCAGTCTCGGTCAGTTTGCAGGCTCCTGCTGGATACACGGCCCTCATGCTCTGTTTCAGACAAGCAAATGTAAAAAATTCCAAAGGGAGAAATGAAAGCACGAGGTAAGTCAGCTACCCCAGGATGTGAGGTTATGCTTGTTTGTGCTCTGTGTTGTCTGATGCCCATCACTCATCATCTTCAAGCTTTTATAAGATTGGCTTGTACCCAGCCAAGCACAAACTCTGGCTAGGCAAGAGCTTAACTGGCCTAGTACTGACCCTGTCCAGCCTGGCACAGACCTTAACTGGCCTGGTACTGACCCTGTCCAGCCTGGCACAGACCTTAACTGGCCTGGTACAGATCCTGTCCAGCCTGGAACAGACCTTAACTGGCCTGGTACTGACCCTGTCCAGCCTGGCAAAGATCTAAACTATCCTAGCACTGATCTTGTCCAGCCTGGAACAGACCTTTACTGGCCTAGCACTGACCCTGTCCAGCCTGGCACAGATCTTAACTATCCTAGCACTGATCTTGTCCAGCCTGGCACAGATCTTAACTGGCCGGGCACTGACCCTGTCCAGCCTAGCACTGACCTAAACTGGCCTGGCACAAACCCTACCCCGTTTAGCACTAACTAGACTTGGCCTGGCACTGACTTGGTTGGTGCACATTGTCATTTCCATCACCCCTCTCCACGTCCCCCATTCCCTGCTTTCCCTTTCTCTCCCTCCCTCCCTGTCTCTCATCCTTTGTAAGAGAAAGAGTTAGGAGCTTCATTCATTCTTTTTCAAAAGGGGTCAAAATGTGCCCGTGCAGCTGCAGACACAGAAACACACATTACTGTAATAAATACATATCCTATTATTACATATTGAACCGAGGCCTCTGTCCCACATTTAAAACTGTTGCCACTGTTCCCACAGTGTCAAAATGAGCGTAGAGCTGTGTGGCACAAAGACACCATTTCAACACGTTGCAATTAATTCTACACTGAGAAAATACTGTACAAGGCGCAGCAAATATGCAGGGAAGGATTGCAATACACCACCTGAAAAGCACACACACACACACACACCAACTAGACTTACAGATCACACCAAAGGTCTGAATCTGATCTGGCCGGTGGTGGCAGTTACAGCTGCCGAACTATTTGGGTCAACGATTCTGAATGAAGTGTGCTGGGCAG